ACAATTGGAACGACTTTTGAAATAAAAACAAATGGAACGAATAGAAAGGAAAAAAAAAAAAGTGGGGACATTCAATTATTACAACATAAGAATGGAGCTTTATGAAAACACGAGCCAGATTCAGTTAATAATGTCTTGTTCTGGTATTATATTGTTTGTTTAGTTTTGTTTTTTTACTCCACAGAATTGTACGAATCATAATCAAAGTCACATCTTATCTCACATTCACATGTTCAAAACTATTCGTTTTACCCTGGATTTCAAAGGTTACATTTAATTCATGTCTTCCAATTTGTTTTCATCTCTAATGCCAGCTTGCAAATATTATTTCTTTAATTGCCTTAGGTCAAATTTTTAGATAACATCCTATATAATGATTCGTGTTATCAGTTTGCTCGTGTTATATGATAATTACCATTAATTGTTTTTCAAAATACATAAGTCAGTCAGTGCGAGAGAGAGAGAGAAAGCTAATGTATATGTTTACGTACTCTTGGGCCTATGAGAGTTTTAAACAACAAACCTATTAGGCTACAACAAAACCCATTCGTTGGTGAGCCGTTTATATCTGGATTCAGAAATCCAGTCCAGATATCATGTAATGGATCCGTGACAACAATTCACTAGCGAAATCAGAATTCACACTATTTATCTTCTCTTAAACGTTTGACATTTGGATATCACCGTTTAATTTCGTACAACGGTTCACAAATAATTTGGAAGTTTTAGGAATGATGATGAAGAAAACTATAGATGTGCATAGTAATTTGCTGTCTTGTAAGAAAAAATCCATATGTAATGTGAAAATAATTTCCGATTTGCGACAAAAATTTATGTAACGTATGAAGTGTGAGCGCACACGGCTCTTAATAGAGGCGCGTGGTGGATGGAAAATATCTCATAGTGGTCCCTACTTTGGTTGTTGGGCTTAGACGCTACCCTTCTCATTCGAGTCATTATTTCTCAGCTTCTCATTACTTTATTACGGATTTGCCCTCTTCCCCAAAGATTCTTTTCTTTTTTTATAAGTTTATTATACTTAACTTTTATTTATTTATTATAATTGTAATCAATATTATGTTTAAGTGATAAATTTATTCAAAAATAAATTTGTATGAAATGGAAATAAATATCGAACAAGAAATGGATCACTACAAGAAAAAAAAAAAATTGTTCAAAAACTTTTTTAATCAATATAGGTTGGTTAGAAGAATTTGGCCCACGACTAATAATCATATGGGCTTTGAGAAAATATTTTTAAAATTCAACGGTCCAGATTAGACCCAATTTGGTTTGAAGAATATATAAATGCAAAATTGCACTCATTGATTCAATAATTGTGTTTTGGATCACTCTTTTGCCTTGAGTAGTCTCTCTCTCTCTCTCTCTTTCTTTTCCTCTCCTCTCTATCTTCTCTTTTGTTGTTTCTTTTATTAGTGTTCTTCTTTGTTTCTGAGAAATTATTCAGTTTAATTAGTTTTGTTTAATTCATTCACTTTTTTTTTTAGTGTGGGATTGTGATCAAAAAGAGTATTTTCAATCAAAAGTTTCTGATTAGTTAATGATGAGGTCATGAACAGTCAATAATCTGGGTAAGTTCTGCTCCACACAATACCATGCTTTTTTTCGTAATAACCGCTCTCCATTTCTCTTTTCCAAAATAACAAAATTCGTTTCTTGGGAAAAAAAAAAAAAGTAAAAGAAATAATACAGTATTTTATCAGTTCTAGCCCAGAGATCTGAAAGTCAAAAGCCCATTTGGGGTTTGATTGGGTTCATAAACAAGAAGGGTGTTTTCGTCATTCGACTAACTGGTGTTGCCCTAAATTCGTCCGCCGTCTAGTCGGTGACCGGCACCGCACGGCGATAATAAGAAGGATTTTTTTCTTTTTTGTTTCTGGTCGGAATATTTAATTGTCAACTTATTGCAAAACATTCATATCAAGTTAATTATGATGTAATCTTTAATTAGCTCGAAATAATCCAGTTTAAAGGTTCAAAAGTTACGAGGAGCATTCATGAAAACGAGATCCTACCTGTCTCCACGTGGCAACCGCTGACCTGGCAAAAGGAAAAGCGACCAATCAGAGAGTCGAATCCGAAAAAAAAAAACCGAAAGAAAACAAAAAATAATGAAAAGTCAGTATGGGACCCATTCAGACATAGAAATGACTAGTTTGCCTCTCTCACAAAAATGGAAATCATTTAAAAAATCCACATCAATTTTTGTAAAGTTCATAGGAATTATTAAAAAATACAAAAATAACACACACACACGACGCCTCACGAACAAACGGCTAAAACAACGCCACGTGGCTATATACGAAGATCTGAGCCATCCGTGGCAGATTTTTCGGGCAGCTAGATCGGTCAGCTTCACCGAACAGATCTGAACCGTAAGATCTAAATTCAACGGTTAGATTTAAACAAAGCGTTATGTCGGTCAGATTCCAATGGCCTTTAAGAAGAGATGATGCCTCCCATCTTCTTCCTCACCATCGACCATCTCCAAAAACCCCTCTTTACATCGTTTTTTTTTAAGCTCTTAAAATTATTTTTTATTCCTGTTCGCCGGAATTTTCGCCGGTGATGTAATTTTCCCGCCCTTTTTTGGAGGTAAAAAAGTTTTTTTTTTCTCAGAAGCTCGAGAAGAGTGAAAACCCCAGAAATGACCTTGCGATTCGTATGGCTCCGGCTGTTTTGGGTACCTTAAACGAACCGTCGTACCAGGAACAATGCGGCGCCGTTTTTATGAGGAAATTTACAAACCAATCCGTCACCGAAAACACCAATAACCTTCCTCTCTTCAACCCTAACCCTAACCCTAATTTCGACAGGAGCAATTCGAGCAAACAGTTTGATGATTCGTCGGAATTTGGAAGCTACGCTACTTTTAACATCGCTGGGTACACCTCAAATCAGCTCAGGGAGCTGAAGAAGCGTTTCACCTCTGAGCTCGAGCAGATTCGGATCCTGAGAGAACGGATCGAGTCAGGGACGTTCGAGACTCAGCAAGCTTATACTATCCCGGAGGTACCCGCCGTTCGATCAGCTCCGTTGAATAGTTTCGCCGGTGAAAAGAATGACCTTGGACCGAAGAAGAAGAAGCAGAAGAAAAATGTGTCAGGTCTCAAGCGAAGCAATCAATTTACTGATTCGGATCCGGAGTCGGAGAAATTATTGGCTGGTATGTTGAATACTTGTGGTCAAATCTTGGTGAAGCTGATGAAGCATAAATGGGCGTGGGTGTTCAACACTCCTGTTGATGTGGTTGGTTTAGGGCTTCATGATTATCATCAGGTTGTGAAGAAACCTATGGATCTGGGTACGGTTAAGTTGAATCTTGATAAAGGGTTTTACGTTTCGCCGATTGATTTTGCTACTGATGTCAGATTGACATTCAACAATGCAATGACGTATAATCCAAAGGGTCAAGATGTGTATTTTATGGCTGATAAGCTTTTGGATCATTTCGATGGAATGTTCAATCCTGCTTTTAAGAAGTTTGAGGCTCAGCAGCTTAAACTCACTGGTTCTTCATCTCGTCTTGAACCTGAGGTCAAGCAAAGACATTGGAATCAGAATTCGCCAATGGTGGCAAATCCTAGGAAAGGAACCGAACAAATATCTATCGCGAAGAAGCTTGATTCAGTGAAGCCGCCACTACCTGCATTGCCTCCTCAATTAGTCGAGCCGTCGCGTGTTCAATCTCCTTCTCCACCACCTCCTCCTCCTCCTCCGGTGGTTGAGCCTCAACTTCCGCAGCTGGTTATTGAAGTAGAAGCACCTCCTGATGTGAGTGACGTGACAAAAGGAAGGAAGGGGAAGTTGCCGAAGCCTAAGGCTAAGGATCCAAATAAGAGGTTGATGACAATCGAGCAGAAGTCAAAGCTTGGTATGAATCTACAAGACTTACCTCCTGAGAAGCTTGGACAGTTGGTTCAGATTCTCAGGAAGAGAAACGGTCATTTAGCTCAAGATGGTGACGAAAATTGAGCTAGATATAGAAGCTGTCGACAACGAGACTCTATGGGAGCTTTGATCGTTTTGTGACGAATTACAAGAAGATGGCTAGCAAAATCAAGCGGCAAGGGTTTATCAGGAACGTGTCAACTCCCACCTAGGAACATGGTAAGCATATTTGCACTGCCGCCCTATCAAAACCACCATTTGATCACTGTGGTTTCATTACTTAAAATTGTTTTCTTCCTGTCTCTCTTAGACTTCGGTAGCAGAAATGGGTAGTGCGGAGAAGAGAACAAGGAGAGGAGATGCAGGGGAAGAGGATGTAGACATTGGAGAAGACATACCAATCGAAGATTACCCATCTGTAGAGATCGAAAGAGATGGTACTGCAGTTGCAGGTAGTGGGTCTAGTTCTTCAGGCAGTTCCAGTTCTAGTGGTGGTAGTTCCTCGTCTAGTGGTATATTTGCTCATTCCCTTTTCTCCTAGCTACAAGTTTTCTCCTTTTCTTGTGTCATCTCTAACATTGTAATGGTCTGGCAGATTCAGGGTCAGGTGGGAGTTCATCAGGTAGTGATTCTGATGCAGATAGTGTTCAATCGCCATTTGTGGAAGCAAAAGAAGCTCAATGATAGAATCATTTGGTGATTTAGCCGTTGATTCTGTCCTGAAGCACTAGGAACTGAAGGAAAATGATTTGTTCTTTCTTTAGATGAAAAACTTAGGAAGCAGTTGTAGTTAGAGAGGAAAATGTACTGGGTAGATAGAGAGAGAAGAAGAGTTCGTTATTTAATACCTTTTAGATTTAGGACTGTTTAGTGTATTTGTGAGATGCTGAACAGAGGGTGAGAGTGAGTGCGCAATGTAAGAAGAAGAAGAAGAAGAAGAAAAAGAAAGAGTCTTTTTCGGTTCTATTGACTATTTTTTTTCCTTTGTGGTTAGTGTTAAAAAGTCTGGTTGTGGTAGGAAAAATGGTGATAGAAGAGAAGACAGAAATCAATGCAATGTAGTAGTTGAGAGATGTAAATGGTTGCCATATTAAAAAAAAAAGATCTTATTTGTTAAGAAAATTTGAGTTTTCATGTTATATAAATGTTTATAAAGTTGCCAAATGTTGCGAAATATAAGAGTTAAGCAGAAGCAGAGGCAGCCAAGAGTCCATTGTGTCTGAGAAGAGGCTCTGGTGAAGGTTCTCGTCCTCTAAACTCAACAAACACCTGATCATAATTTGGAATAAATTGAGAATGAAATGCAACAAATATTGAAGCTATTGAATGAAAACAACACTATTTCGTAAGTAATACCTTAAGAGGCGCTCTTCCTCCTCCAAGTGCAAGTATGGTGTCTCTGAATCTCTGTCCTGTTTCTTTCACAGCCTGTTTGCAACAAAGTGTTTCATAATCGTGTGTCTCAACTTTTTGTGTGTATAACAGATGTTTTAGGATAAAATGATACCTTGATGTCATCTAGTCCAGCGTCTTCAAATGCTGAAAATGCATCTGCAGACAAAACTTCTGCCCACTGCAAGTTTTTCACATCCAGTTCTTTTAGATATTTGGGTGAGAATTTACAGAGCCGGTTTAGAGTTTTGCTATAAAGAGATTCTCAAATTTACCTTGTAACTGTAATATCCAGCTGCATATCCCCCTGGAAATTCATGAACAAGTTAGTAGGTGAATGGTTTGATCAAAAAGCACCAACGATGCATACTCTCTCAAGGTTAAGAGGATTATTACCGGCAAAGATGTGACTGAAGCTACAGAGGAATCTATCCTCAGGAAGTGGAGGGATAACTTGGGTTTTCACTGATACCCTTTGATCTACGTCATAGATGGACTCTGCTCCTCCTGGTACATATTTTGTGTGCAGCTCAAGATCCACACTAGCAAATTTCAACTGAAAATTCAAAACATGAAATCATCATTAATTCCACCTCTAAATACAAAACATTAACAGCTAGTTGTCTATACTCACCTGACGAA